TTTATCTTTTAAAAAATATGTATTTTTATTGATTTCAGAGAGGAAGGGAGAGGGAGAGAGAGCTAGAAATATCAATGATGAGAGAGAATCATCGATCGGCTGCCCCTTTCATGTCCCCCACTGGGGATCGAGCCAGCAACCCCGGCATATGCCCTTGACTGAAATCGAACCTAGGACCCTTCAGTCCACAAGCCGATGCTCTATCCACCGAGCCCAAACCAGCTAGGGTTAGGGTGTCTGCATTATGAGCTAATCCAGAGACCCCAAATCTAGCTTCTGCTCACAGAGCTCCAGTCCACTCTGCTCTCCCTCTATTAGAACCCAACGAGAGTGGCTACACATTAAATTTTGTGCATTGGCCCTTTAAGAGGGTGCTGGCATTTCCAGCCATTTCTGGCTGGCTGACAGCAACCCTGCTGCTTTTCACAGCCAGATGTTATGTGGGCACCTTTTTTAGTTCTGGTGCTCTCTGCTCGGGGCCCAGCTTGGGGATTAGATGCCAGATTTCTTAGTGGGAACCCCCCCACAGTTGACATATATCTCCAGAACTTCATCTGCTGTCTCTTAGAACTTGTCTAGTCCTTTCAAATCTCCACCCTTCCTAACACTCTCTCTGATGTCTCCATTTTCCATGCTTGGTTATCAGGGTTCTCTCCAGCTAGTCTTCAGTTGATTTCTCAGGATGGGTTTTTTTGTATTTTAGTTGCAATTCCAGTTTGGTCCTGGAAGTCGGTCTGTGTAACATCCACTTACTCTGCTACCATTTTTAATCTCTTCTATTCCAACTGTCTTAATATCAGGCAGGTCTTGTTCCCATCATTATATTTCTTCAAAAATTTTTGGGGGTTACTTTGGTCTGGATTTAAACTTTCAAATCTTTATTTGTTATTTTTTAAGAGACATAAGTTGAGAGAAGTTAAAAACTTGTCCAGGGTCTTTTTGTAGAGTGAGCACAAACCTTTCTGACACCTAACCCATGGTCCTTTATGTTAAGTAACTCTTGAAATTCCTTGTCACATCCCACCCTCTTGTCAGACTGTACCTGGTTGCAGACTGGCTTATACTTGAGTCTTGGTTTGTTCAGTATTAGCTCCAGCTGTCTGCGGTTAAAATGGGATACACCAAGAGATTTCACCAAGCCAGCATCTTTGCAAGCTTCCAAAGCCTGTGTAGAGTAAATGCCATTGAATTTAGAAAGAAGCCTCAAAACAAGCAAGAATGAATGTTTAGAATGTTAGTATAAATTCTTTAACCCCTTCCCTTGACAGGGGCTGAGGGCAAGGGACTACATCTTATTTATCTGTGTATCTGCAGAATCTATCATAGCACTTGGCTCAAAGTGGGTGCTCAGGAATTGTTGAATGAAAGAATGAATGCCAGCGGTTCTCAACCTGTGGGTCGCGACCATCGGAAAACACATATAGGATATCAGATATTTACATTAAAATTCATAACAGTAACAAAATTACAGTTATGAAGTAGCAACGAAAATAATTTTATGGTTGGGGGTCACCACAACATGAGGAACTGTATTAACCCCTTCCCCTGCAGAAACGTGTATACTCGTTTTCACAAAATGTTCTTTTTCAGTCGTCGACGAGTATATTAAGAAAATATGGTAAAAAAATATGGTTTATAGGAAGACGAGTTACAAACTGTTTTCATAACCAGCATCAAAAATACTATATAGAACCAAAATAAAAAAATTAGTCTGAAACGAAACGTTTTTAACAAAAAAATTGTTGGGGAAGGGGTTAAAAAGGAAAGTCCCTGGGTATGTTAATAGTCATTCTGTGAAGAAACAAATGTGGGGTGGACACAAGTAGGAATTGTTTTATTGTGGTATATTGTATGCCATATCTTTCCCCGGTAATATCCTATCTAATAAAAGAGAAACATGGTAATTGGCGTACGATTGCTACCCTTCCCATTGGCTAATCAGGGCGATGTGCAAATTAACTGCCAGCCAAGATGGCGGCCAGCAGCCAGGCAGCTTGAAACTAACATGAGGCTTGCTTGCTTCAGTGACAGAGGACTCCAACGTCCCCCGCCTGCCGCTGCAGGCCTCTGAGCTGCCGTTTGAAACATAGTTACAAATATAGAAGCTAAACAAAACCCCAGAAACCGCTTTCAGCGAGCCGGGATCTCAGAGCTGGAGTTGATACAGTCTTTCGATTATAGAACACAAACCAGCTACCTGCTTTCAGCAGCAGAGGCCTCAGAGCTGGAGCCAGAGATAAAACTGGCCCAGAATAAAAAAAAGAAAAAGAAAAAAAGAAGCAGTTGGGAGCTTCAGTTGGCCTGAAACCAGCATCCAGCCCCTCACCCAGACTGGCCAGGCACCCCAGT